TCAGAGATATGAGAAATAGAAAACGAAGTGTGGAAGAGGAACTGTACTGTGGAAAGCAAAGAATTCAGGGAAACCAGTCATTCGTCACTTGCTGAATATAGATCAGAGCCCAACAGAGAGCTCAACAGAGAGTGCACACAGCCACCCATCACAGAAGGAAAGCACCGTGGGAGCCAGAGGAACAGGAAGCTTCCGTTTCGGCAAAGCACCAGCTGCCACAGCTGCAGCTGTTTCAGACACAAGCACGGGCAGAACTCTCTTCTGCCTTCTCCGGGGTAAAACACCGACTAAAATTTTCTTCTTTTGTGTTTTGTTTTGAACAAAGGGGAAACAGGTAGTGCTTATAAAGCCCATTCTACTCCAGAAGCCATGCAGAAGTCCTCCCTGGTAAGCAGCCTTCAGGATTCACAGAGGACCTGGCTGGCCCTCCTCCAGGGTCCTCATCTGTAAACAAGGGCTGGGCTCGCACTATCTCTCACAGGATGCCGTGCTAGGAATACAAATCAAAATGGCATGCAAGGTCTTTCCTCATCAAGAAAAACAACACTGATCCCTCAGACTTTTAGCTGTTGGATTCTTAAAATATATTGTTATTGATTTCAGAGAGGCAAGAAGAGGGAGAGAGAGATAGAAACATCAATGATGAGAGAGAATCAATGATCATTTGCTCCTGCACGCCCCCTACTGGGGATCGAGCCTGCAACCTGGGCATACACCCTGATGGGGAATCAAACCAGGTCCTCCTGATTCATGAGTTGATGCTCAACCACTGAGCTACACAGGCTGGGCTCGCTGTTAAGTTTTTTTGACAGTCAATCCAAGAAATGAACCCCAATGGAAGCAGATAACTCTCTAAGTGCAAGGATTCTGGTGTAGCATTAAACCATCACCACCATCTAGCTGCTTGCTGAGTATCACTTATTCCTGCACAAAAAATAAAAACTGAGAAGAAGAAGAAAAAGGCTTCTTTTTTACCAGCATCCCAAGACCTAAGGATATCCATGAGGCCTTAGAAAAGGCAAAAGTGAATGCCCAGCAATAGAGAACTCCTGCTCGGGATCTGGCAGTTCCAAGCCTCAGAAAAGTTCACTTGAATGAAAACAACAGGGTCTGAGGCCAAGTGAGAAAAGCCCTCAGCTGTTGATCGACTGCTAGGTATTCACATCTCCTCACTTGAGAGAAGCTCACTCTCAAAACTGTGTCTCTCTTCCAGAAAACTGCGCTCCCAGTAGGACTAAATGAAGGACCCCAGTGTTTTTCCATTTGATCTTTCCTTCCTCTCCCTTTCCTCTTTCTGGGGAAAAAAGTCTTTTCCACGATGATATGTTAAGCTTGGGTAAAAGCGTGCTTATTGCCAGGATCCTGAGCTGCCGGGAAGGGCTGCCATACCGGTGTGCAGTCAAGAGCAAGAGTAACAACCTTCGGGTTTTCCAAATGGGGAACCTCCCGGATTGGAATTCACTTGGCAAAGAAATAAAAATAGTTCTGGGGACAGACATGGTTGCCTACTGTTAGACCTGCTAAGAAGGGCTCTTTACAAAACAAACTGCAGCCTGCCAAGCACAAGTGTAACAGAAAGGCCATCTTACACAGAAAATGCAGAAATCCACGCCAGTCCTTGAAATCGAACACATTCAGCTTTATGAACCTTGTAAGCCCTCTTTTTTCTCATCATAAAAATACCTGAACTCACACTGGCTCAGCCACCCACTGCGAACAGACATTATTACTGTAGCTTCCTCAGCAATGGTGACATTTCTGTCTAGAAAACTGTGGAACCGGGGAAAAAAAAGGATACAAAAGCTCCAATGATGAAAATGGGGCTGAAGACGTGCTTCTGGAAGGTAAACAGCGCCAGGCCCATGTAGGAGAAGATGAAATTCTCGGCCAAGAAGTGTAACACCTCAAAGAGCTGCGGGGAGAGGGAAAAGGAAGCATTAGACCCGTGGGTCCCCTCCCCTTGTCGTCACAGGGAACTTGTGAGGACCCAGGGCTCGGGCTCACCTGCTTCGTTCGACTTCTTGATTCCACCGACAGGTTGTTGTAGGTGTAATGGGCTTGTGTGATTCCACAGAAAAGGACAGCTACCACACCTAGCAGGAGAGTGTGGGTTTGTTTTTTAAAGCAAAGGAATAAAAGGCAGCAGGAAAAATCCCTGGTGAAACCCAAAGTGAAGATAGGCAAGCCCAGCAGCCCCAAGCCGCTGCTCTAGAAGAATTCTTCCCTCCCGCCAAGCTCCCAGATACAGTGAGGGAAATGGTGGCCCCAGGGCAGAGAAAACCCACCTGTAAACCCGCAGGCTTCTGCCAGGAGGAAGGTGCTCCAGGACATGAGGAAGAACAGCGCGGTCTCCAGCAGGGGGAAGCAGTGCAGCTTGGTAAACTTGGTCACGTCAGCCCCTGTCAAGGAACTCATCTCCAGGAACACATACCAGAGTCACCAAGAACCGCATTCTATTAGCCCAGGATCCTCTTTCTAGGGGCCTTCCTTTCCCCTCAGCTCTTCTTTTGGGGGCCCCAAAGGTGCTGCTTGCTTTTGAAAGGAAGAAAAATCAAGCTTCCCAGGAGAATAGAGGTTACGAAGGGCTGGGAAAGGGGGAGGATCCTGTTTAATGAGTACCCAGGTTCTGTGTGGAATGATGAAAAAGTTCTGGAAGGAGATAGTGGGGCTAGTTACACAACATTGTGGTTGTACTTAATGTCACCGAAATGTACACTTAAAATAGCTATAAGGGCCAATTTTATGTTATATACATTTTACCACAATTTCAAAAAAATGAGTAATGTCTGGGGGGATGGGGGTAATGTGGAGATAAGGACACATATAACTTAATCAATAAAAAATTTTTTTAAAAATGAGTAATGTCAAATCCCAAACACCATCAAGGTAGGGGAGGGTAGGGGTAAGTGGGGGAGATCAACCAAAGGACTTATATGCAAGCATATAGGCCTAACCAATGGACACAGACACCAGGGGGGTGAGGGCATGAGTGGGGGGGATGGGGGGTAATGTGGGGATCAGGACACATGTGTAATAACTTAATCGTTAAAAAATTCATTCATAAGTCACATGGGCCAGCCAATAAAAAAATTAACAAAAAAAGGGGGAATTGCACAGTGTGAATTTGATCTCAATAAAGCTGTTTTTGTTTTGAAATTAAGCTTTCTAAAGAAACTGCAAATGTGTTTTCTGTGCCCCTCGCAATGCTCATGGCTCTGAAAGGCTCCGTCATGGCCTGAGGTGTCTGTCAGGTTAGATCTGACAGTGGGGGGAGTGCCTAGGGATGGCTTGGGAAGATGAGGCTGTGAGACCTTGATTTCTGCAGGGCAGAGCTAAGCCTAGAGTTACACCGCAAACATTTCCTCATCCCTTTAGCTAGGCACTCAACTGTCATGTGTTTTTGTAATGTTTTTATTGATTTCAGAGAGAGGAAGGGAGAGGGAGAAGAGTGTTAGAAAAATCAATGATGAGAGAGAATCATTGATCAGCTGCCTCCTGCATGCCCGCTACTGGGGATGGAGCCCACAACCCAGGCATGTGCCCTGACTGGGAATTGAACCATGACTTCCTAGTTCAGTGATGGCGAACCTTTTGAGCTCGGCGTGTCAGCATTTTGAAAAACCCTAACTTAACTCTGGTGCTGTGTCACATATAGAATTTTTTTGATATTTGCAACCATAGTAAAACAAAGACTTATATTTTTGATATTTATTTATATATGTAAATGGCATTTGAACAAAGAAAAGTCAACCAAAAAATGA